CAAAATTCACTGAGTGCAAACAGTTCAGCTGCAGTAAATGGCAATTCATATCACACCACACGTCTCCGCTTGGCAGGGTGAGCGGCAGCTGCGGAGGACACGCTCAGCTTTGAGCCAGCACGGACATTCCTCGAGAGTGTCGGGTCACCCCTGAGGTCGTCAGCGAGGAAGCCCATTGCTGCTTGGACTGTAGCTGCTTGTGTTGGAACCAAAGAGACTTGTTTTCATTGCTGCCAGTCATGAGCGCAAAGGTTCACTAGAGAAGACGGAAAGAGCAAGCCAAACAAGAGACTTGCATAAAAAAAAAAAAAAAAAAAAAAAAAATCAACCCAAAAACTGAACAGGGCAGCAGAGGACCTGGAAGGCAGTCTGGATGTGAAGTTAAACTCTTAACTTTTCCTCACTCTATAGGTTTTTTTTCGCCCAGAACTTTTCCAAAACACAGTGTAAGCAAATTAAGTTTTTAGCTGATATTTTTTCCCCTAAAAATGTGAACACTCAGCAGGCAAACATTTTGCCCACATGGCTAAAATTAATCCAAGTTACAAACAACTGAAAACAGGTCTTTATAGTAGGAAGTATTAAGCAACTTTAATAATAGGTAGATTGAGCAGCCCCACCTATAATAAGCAACGAACGCACCTCCCTAGAACAGATAGCATTTAGATGGGTTGCTATACTACGAAAACAAATCCTACTGTTAATATTTCAAGATTTCTAGTTAATTAAATGCTCAAGACAGTTTTCAAGATCATCATCTTCTTTTAAAGCATTACCTTTTCTTAATGAGAGGAAAAAAATGTCCCTTGTAAACTCTGCTTTGCTTTAGAGCACAAAGCTTCTCACGCTTTAGGCTGAACACAAATTTAATGACTGAACAGATCTAATGGGAACAAAGCAATTTATACCACCTAAACAAAAGTTGTCATCATCTGTATTACAAGCCCTCATTTCTACAGTGTTTGGACAAAGGTAAGAGAGAAAGTTAATTGTGACACTCCACATTAAAACTAAGTTCTATTTGGTTTCAAAATTAAGCACTGTGGTGGTTAACCTCTCGAAACAAAACCCTGCAATTAATTACCACTATCACATAAAACTAGCATGATGCATACACATATGTAAGTTCACAACTGAACAGGCAACACTAGTTTTCAGCATTATTTAACTTTTAAGTGCTTGAATTTACAGCTTTCAGTATTCTTTAAAAGGCAGCAAGGTGTATAATTGTTTTTTTAATTAGCACAGTGGGACATACCATTTGTTAAGTACCATTTACTAGGAACACATTGCTGGTAGCTGAACTGTTCCTGACTGAACCAATGGATTTATGCTGGCATAAACAGTAATAACAGGACAAACCCAAATAAAAAATTTCTTTCAGGTGTACTCTGTTCTATATCTGATCTCTGCACTCAATTAAGAAATGTTATCATGCAGCTACACGGGTACCCATCTAAGTTCTACCAATTGATGATGCAAGGGAACTCTCAAAAAATACTCTTAATCTCTTTTTCTACTTCTCCTGGAATATCAAAAATTTCCATTCTTCCAATAGCTATTATCTTTAAAATGTGTTGTCATAAAGACCTAAGACAGAGTGTATTTGCTCCTAAATTTTTTTTCCACCTACAGTGATTATAAAAAGTTGAACATACATTTTGCTGAACATAAGTACTTAACAGAAATACACAACCAACAGTGGACAGCACAGTTTTTGCTGTTTCTGGTCCCTTTTAAAATATTTTAAGAAAGGAAGCCAAAGTGTATAAAGTAATACTTTTGTGCCAGCATTCTCTGCCACAGGAACAAAAGATTTGCAAACCATAGATTGAGCTTTTACGTCCAAGGCTGTTGCCCTGCCAGGTTCATACACTGCTTTTGTGCAGGGTAAGGTACTTGCTTAATTCACTTCAGACTATTGCCACAATGGCAAAATGTATAAACACACCCTATCTACCTGGCCACTTGATTTCCATGTAAGACTGACAAATAAAGAGAAAGGACCTTGGTGAAAATAGGTGCACTGGGGTGAACAAAGCTGCTGTCAAAGGCACACAACTGTGCATTCCATGCATCACTAGTTTAACACCAAAACAACCTGATAGAACACAAATATGTCAAAGAGCTACTAACAAGGCCAAGTACCATGAACAGAGAAAAATATAAACCAAGCAACAGTCAACTCCTCCGTAAATCCTCATCAAAAAAACCCCCACTTTCAATTTAACACAATTTAGCTGTCAGTAGTTGGATAAGTTTGGGATGGGGGCAATCACAAAATATGAAAATATTAATGACTAATTAGAAATATCTGTGACTAGTACAACCCCCACATCAAGCATGCAGCATGGAAAAGATAACCAGACTAAAAAAACCCCCTGAAGATAACTGCAATGAGGAATGATAAATAATTATAATACCTTATTATTCTTGTAATACCACAACAAGGAACAAGAGCAGATAAGCAGAGAATTCAAACTGAACATGCCCCCCCTTCAGTTCAGACCAGAGTTGAGGGGAACATTTAGCTTTCCTTTTATATTACTTTGATCATTTTCTGAAGCAGAAACAGAACACAGATAAAATTGCTGGGAAAACCAGTTGACAGAAGATTGAAATCAAGCTGTTACTTTAATGATACTGGTGTGTTACTGTACTCGCATAGACCTCTCTTCAAATACATCTATAGATACATTTTATAACCAGAAAGGTTCTTTGCAATGGCTTGACAAAACCTGATGCATGCCAAAAAGCATTTTTTTTTAGAGCTAAAAGCTGTTTGTAGAACTCATACAAAGAGAGTAACAGGAGCTACAAGTTTCAAACAAGCTAGGAGCGCAGATAACTTACAGTATGATCACCAAGAAACAAAACAGCTCCTTGCATCTCTGGTAGTGCACCTACAACAGCTTATCTAACTGCTTTAAATTATTCTTCCTGAGAAACCTCGTGCAACACTAGAAGCACTAATGTAATAACTCGTAGCAGAGATGAAATCTTTCACAGACAAGACTCTACTAGGCCGGTATGGCCCCCTCTTCAAACAACAACAAAAAAATTCATCCTGACAACTGTCTGCCTAGATAAATGCCAGCATTACAACTTCAAGATATTTATACAGCTTTATAAAGCCTGACAACTATAATTGCTTTCCATTAAAAACTTCAGAAGTGTCTGCCCCATATGATCTCCAGAAGCAAAAGTTTCTAAATCTGGTTAGATCTAAAGAGCTAACTTTGAATATAAGATATGAGCTTCAATTACTTCATAAGCACATATATTTGAATGGGGGCAGAGAAAAAAAGTTCTTTCAGAGAAAATACTACAAAAGGCAATCAGATTAATATCCTATCCATCAGCTGAACACAGCACCCTCCTTGCCAAGGCTAACAATTAGAACAATTGCTTCAGTGAGCACAATGGAAATCATTCTTCCTTCCCCCTGGTATTAAACAATACACAGACAGATTTTAGTGAGCAATCTCTATGTCCAACCTTTCCTTCCAGGTAAGGAGACTAGCAGTTTGAAGCCATTGCAAAAGTCTGAGGGTTACACAATGCCACATGGGTCATTTCTGCATAAGGCAATTTCAGATTCAAGTTCACTCTTACCCATTCTGACAGATGAGTTCCTTCTAGGCAGGGACTATCCTCAGCAGAAGACACGTGAATCTGCGATAGGAACCAATAGCACGTGTTCCATACGTATCCTTTTCCTACAGTGTTCTGAAAGCTGATATTTCAGTTGTAGTCAGTAGGTTTGCATTCTTCATCCCTGCTATAATGCTGCTACCTGCATTTCTGAGCTCAACTGTACAGTTTACAGCCAGCTTCTTTCTTGCACTGTCATACCGTATGCATGCCAAGATTCAGAGACAGTGATAGTCAACAGCTTCACAGGAATTGTAAGTGTAATGAAATTTCCTTTATAAGTTTAAGGCAAGAGTTAAAATATACTGAAAGATTTGCTTCACTATGAGTTTATATTTAAGCTGAATTTGCACACTATTAAATCATGCTGAAATAAAATAGCATCAGTGTTACCACCTTGTACAGCTTTACCAGAAATTCTTGGGCAGGGGTGACAACTCAGAAAAACAGGATTCAGCTTTTACTGCAGAAGCCAAGTTCTACTCTTAAGCATCACAAATCAAGGAAAGTTGATTGCAAACACCTTTAATATGAATACAAAATTCACATAGGATAAACATTCTGGGGAACGTAAATGAACTATTACAAGAGATTCTGACAGAACAAAAACATAAAGAAGGCTCTGTCAGGACAAGAATTTAATAAGGAATGATTAAAAAGTTTGATTTACAGTTACATTACAGTTGTGTTAAGCACTGAAAACTTTAAGAATGTCAGCTGAAAGGCATCTGAACATACAGTACATAAATCATACAATCCACACTGTTGTAAATAATATATCTGAAATAATTCATTATACTTAACAGAACACAAAGCAACATAACATGTGCAAATGAGGACTCCAATATACTGAATTTAAAATGTCTATAATAAAATTGACATAGAATTTTACATTTATGGACTACACAGTTGATGGAGAAATTAAAAAAGTATCCTCCATGTTAATCCCATTACCAAAGTATGATTTTCAATTAAATAGCAAAACTGTACTGGCCCAATTTTCTCTCTCAAAATCATACCTGTCCATAAAGGTTAACTAAAGCTTTAACTTGCTTTAAGTGTACAATGAAACAGCATTTACACAGTCTCCTTTCCCTTGTTGGGAATTGACAAACCATTCTGTGAAAGGGTTCTTGCATTATGTACACTGGTGGAAAATATTCTCTTATAAAAAGGCACATACCTGTGATTTAAGGCTAGTACGGTATTTATTTCATAAAGTAAAATTTTAAACAAAATTAGTACATTGCATGGTTGGCCTCACTCTGCAAGCCACTTGGTGCAAAGCAAAAATGTGTGCTTAGAAGCCTCAGACTGACAGTGATTCTTGCTTTAGTGTTTTGGGGTTTTTTTTTAACCTGTGATGGAAAGGTACATCCTTTTAAGAGGCATTTACTGCAATTCCACTAGCCAATGAGCCATCTGCTATTGTTGTCTTATATGTAGATATCACACATAGGCCTAATATTCTTAATCTGCAAAATATTCTTTTAACTCTCTCCTTTTTAAAAGTCATATGAAAATTACTAAAGATGTTTTCTGTATTTGTCTATAAAATACCAGATGTCAGTACAAATCATGTAAACCTCCACTTGGAAATATTTTGACTAGCCACCAAAATGACCAGAAATCAAACCCAACATTTGTCAGTGCAAGTCTATAATAGTTTTGTTTCCCCCTCCCTCCCTCCCTTCCTGCCTCCCATCCCAGTTTTAGAAATAACCACCAACCTTTAAATATAAAAGGAGTGCTCTATATTTGAAATGACAGAAATTATGTTTGGTTACCTTACAGTCACCCACTTTCCCAACAAATTCAGTTTTACAGTATTATAAAAGGGGGAAAAAAAATTAAAGCTGTCTGTGCAAGAATCACTATAACAGTCCTTCAACCCCAACCCTTAATTATCAGATTTAAAGATTTTTTAGGTTAGCATTGGGTCCTCTTCTCTGATCCGATTACTGTTCTTCAAGCCAGGATGGGGCATCTGCTCCAGGAGTTTTCAATTTGATGTGGAACTGTTTAAGTGTCTGTTCAAGCTGCTTCTGATTCCCAGCAAAGTATGCCGCAATGGCATTGTGGAACAGAACGAGCTGATTGTGCAATACCTTAACCTGCAGGCAAGGAAAATTCTTTAACATTAAAGCAATTTAGAGTTTTCATAAATCATGCTTAACAGTCAATACCAACACAGTATGCATGGACCAAAATCAATTCACTAAACAGCATGTTATCAAATATCAAACACCTGACTACAAGTACTTCACTCCTTGAAATTAGATGCCAACCCTCAGTCTAAGATACCTACCTGCAGGCCAAATGGACTTCCCTGAGACAGTACATGACAAATGCATTATTTAAGTACACAGTGCATTTATTTGCCCCCCTTGCAGAGAGCTGCTGGTTTCCAGCTCACATACACCTAAGTCAAATGAAACATGTTCTTTTCCCAGCAATATTTCTTGACCATCTCTTGTAACACAGGATTATTTACTGCACTTGAACAACATCTTGACCATAACACTTGTGCAAAGAAGTCATGCAATACACAGGTGAAGGCAGTAATCAAAACTTGGGGACAACTGCACAAGAGCAGCTGGAGGGCATCACCATGTTTCTCTTCCAGTCTAGTCTACGATGGCAAACTATAGCACTGATGAATTTCATTTTCATCCCAGCACACCAGTAAACCTTAAGTTGTGAATGACAAATAGCAGTGTGCTGAAAAGGCATCTGTCCAGTTTTTCCTGCAGCCAAAACCTGTCCTTTTTGTTCTTGAGTGTACTCTCAGCCCAGCGCAACCTTACTCTTGTGTCAGAGCCCAAATTCCTAAGGTGGTGGCCTGTAGGTCTGCCCGTTTCCAGCCTACAAGACCTTGAGCCCAGTAGCATTTAATCACCACAGAAGAGAACAGAGAGGAACAGGGTGGCTGACTGAGCCAGGTGTGATGTGGTAGGTAGCAGATTAAGCTTTCTCTACTCAAATTTTGGATTACTGCCTTATCTCTCAACACAATCCACAAGGGACAGTCTAGTCCTGTCATGCTGGGAAGCAAAACCGTCTTTGGGCCAGGTATGGCCTATGCCTACCAGTTGGCTGTCCCTGTTTTAACAGGTTATTTGGCTAACATGCTTTTTTGAAATGCATGCGATGAAATAGAGAAATACTTTATTGCCTTAATTTAAGAAAATATATCAAATTAAAAAACCCACAACATATATTAGACATGCTATTACACTAGAAGAATAACATTTACAGTATTACACAGAAATGTAATAATATACTTTAAAAATAAAATACCTTGAGAAAAAAGGGCTACGTGTGTGCATGCATGCTTATAAACATATAGATATAATAATTTTATAATACATACAAAAGTTTCAGCACTAGAAGTTGAAGTCTCTTATGAGTATACAACAATTTTATTCTTTTTACTGAACGGTCTCATTTCACAAATTAAGTTTTACCCATAAACTGACAACTGCACAGACCTTAGATAATCCCTCTTTGGTGGCCCACTTTTTGGTCTAGTTGTTCTTACAATTTGAAAACTCGCTCTGAAAATTTGAAAATGTTTTCTTTCTTAATTCAGGCTGATTTAACTAAATACATGTCAAAGAATGAATGTTAATGAGGCTTTTTTTTCCTCATTAACAGTGTAAAATGGTAGGTTATTCCATCAAAAGGCTCTCCAAGAAAAAAAATATGAGGTATGTATAGTTAGGAAGGAGTTCACCACGCACATTGTTATCTCAAGACAATGTTTTTTAAATTTACAATAGACTTCACAAAATTTATCATGTACAGCCATTTTAACATTTAGGAGATACAGAATTTAGCTAACTACTTGTCCAACATAGTTCAGCTTTTCAGTGTCATAAAAGATGGCCCCTTTTCCAGTTTGTGTGGGAACATATGTATATAAATACAAGAATTTTCTTAATGTACAAAAATTTTTGTCCCCAAAATATTGTGTCATACAAGTGCAAAATGTTAAAACAACATAAAGGGTTTGCTTTTAGAAGTTTAGAGAGCAAAAAAATTGAGGAGGTACAGTCTTTTCTGAGCAGATTCTTTCATCATTGACATGCAAGACTTTATACAATCCATGCTAGGAATTCTATGCAGAAGTACCCTCACTGTTTCAGCATATTATTAAAATATCGCAAGAGTTTAATTCCTACTGTTTATAGGAACTCTAATAAAACAGGGTAATTAAGCCATCCTCCCAGCCCAAGTTCATCAATTTGAGACCAAATTTGGTACTTTGTTTGGGTGGCTTTTAACACAAAGCTTCTGAGAACTGCCCTTGAAGTCTTCTGATAATTTTATATTCAGTCAGGTCTAGGCTCAAGTATGCATGCACACACACAGACATGCAGGAACTCACAGTGTAGAGGCAGATAATTTGGACTGAAAAAATATGTTTGTTTTGGTGAGGTTTTCTGAAGTACTAGAGCTACACCTCATTGTATGAGGTTCTATCCTCAAGCCAGATCATTGTGCTGTGAATTTTGTGATCCTTATCAAACTGGTTGCAGAGGTTCAAGGTGTTACAACTTCTGCTCTCCTCCTTCAGAAGCTGATTGCTAAGTGAATCCCAGAAGTGATAGTGGGATCTTATTATCCATAGCTTGATTCAGTTAACTTGAAGATTATATTTCTAGGAAGAGACCACTTAAACTGTCTGACACTGTACAAAGAAGCTCTACTGTGAAGCAGCAGCCAGCTAAGAGAAAAGAAAAAAAGCTGTAACGCCTCAAATCACCTGATGTCCACTGCAAAAACACCTTCAATCATGGCTGAGAACTGGACAACAAATATTCAGTTAAACCCAAGTTCAAACCTAACCAGTTTTCCCATGAAAGAATCCTAGCCTTACCCATCCCATATCCAGCCATTGATTCCTACTTCTACACTATGTTTCACCTTAGACCTCTGTTGGCAAAACATTCATGCACTTATGTAGTCAGTTGGATCAGGGAACAGATCTAGATTAAAACTAACCAGACAACAACATATTTGCTTTAACCTGGACCAGTTCCCCAATCTGATTCTCCACAGCTGCAAAAACACATTTGTAAACACAACAGAGAAGGCAATGGGGGGAAGGGGGATAGAGGATGAAGAGACCACCTTTTTTCTTTTCTGCAAAGTCTGGATGTGACTTCAGACTACAGTGTTAAAGGCCAACTCTTGGGCACTAAGCTGTAGCACCTATGTCAGTAAAGGAGCATTTGAAGATCAAAGCCGTTCAATCAAAGAATGTTAATGGTATGTTGCTAAGACAAATGACTAGCATGCCTGTCAAAAAGATATGGTGTTTTACAGTTAAACATCATTTAAAATCATTGTTCCTTGTTAACTAACTACATACACCTATTTGTTCCTAATTACGAGCAGAGTAAGCACTCCCAGTAGACTTGGAAAAGTTAATCTCGAAATAAAACTGAACTTTGTGAATAAGCATAAAAAATGGGCAGGCCCCAAACAGAAGACTTAAGTTTCACATACAGAAGATACTATAGGTTGGAACTGAGTTTTCATATTTCCTCTGGATACTCTTAATATTTGAGTTTTTAAATATTGCCCTTTTCCCCCCACCTCCCTCTAAACACCATATTTTCCATGGCACAATAAGCAGAGATTTCTTTACATCCTCCTCATTCAGACTGTTTCAGCCACCTCAGTGACACCAAAAAGACTAACCCCATTCTAATCTTTGTCAGTTTGTACCTCCTCACAACTATCACAATCTCTTCCCCTAGCTATCTTTATTTGAAGTTATTTGGTCTAAACAGTTACATCACCTGGATTTCCATTAGATTGCATATTGCCTTCATTTGCAGAAGCAAGCATTTAAATACCAAACTCCTGAAGTACAACTCACAGAACTGCATTCAAATTCTTTCTCTACATAGAATATTTGACATTTCTCAAGTGCATACATGAATAACAGTTCTTCCTTTCTCAAAAAGGCAATGCCTTTTCAAAAAATTTTCAGTGGCAGAAATCTTTAAGCTAAGAACAGGCCACCATCCTTATTTAAACAAACGAAAAATTAACTATTTTTCAACTACAGATTTTGTTTACAGCTATTCCTATACTCATTACCCAATGCCACAAACTTCTACAGAACTCTGCCAGCTGGGGACAGCACCAAGACAACTTTGCAGCAACATTAAAAAAAAGGTTCTAAATTTAAGATCAGATGCTATAATGAAAGTAACTAGAAATATTGTAAATCTTGGTTTTACAGACAGAAACTGGCAATCCCAGCTTTACTGTAATGCAGCCCTCTGAACCTTTGGGGCTTTTAACTGAAATATTAACATATGAACCCAGAACAGGTACAAAGAGACTGCAACCACAAAATGCCTTTTTTCCACTAAACATAGGGCCAGCTAGATTACGGCTGTCTGGTGATATTTGCAGTAACACAGACCAACTGGAGCCCACCAGCCACTTAAACCACCTTTATAGTTCCTTTGCAGTGACAGCTTGAATCACCTCCCAGTTTTCCCTGCTCTCCTTATATATTGTGCTTAACAAAATATGGGACAAAACCTTTGAGTGGGAACATAACTGAGTGCATCTAGTAGAAGTGCGTTTACAAAAGAACACTGAGGATTGTTTTGACATTAATTTGTCAGGCAATAAGAAATACATAATTTAAAAAAGTTTAATATTGGTCAGACTGTAACAATATATTCATTGGGAGAGAATCATGAACTGATTTATCTAATTTAAAATTAAACCTTAAAAATTGTCTAATTGTTTTGCAATAGCAAGGTTTTATTACACAATTCTGTTTTCAATACAAAAGTGATAATAACAACTAAGCTTCCACTGTACATTGCAATATATACAAGACTTGAAGCCCAAAGGTTTACAAGGTGCAACTGAAAATTTATATGGCTACCATACCATTTTCTTATCTAAAAAGGCTTCTCTAATTAGAACAAATACTCATTCACATCTGGATTCAGCACCGTGACAATACATCTAATAAAGTTGATGATTAGAGATTTGCATGTTCTAGCATATCATAACTGATATACTCATAAGTCTAGCAAGGCCATGCCTTAAAGATAGCTGCTCAGATACTAACCCTCATTTGCCTTGTATGCAATTAGCCTGCAACAACAGAGGCTTTCTAAAACAGGATACAAAAATCCCTTTGGAGAAACTGAGTAAACCCAGTACTTTGCCCATGGGATCATCTTTTATTTTGATCTCCCACTCTATCACATGGGCACCAACATGGTCCTGGGGATAGACACACAAAATGACAAGTTCCTGTTACTGAGAATACCATATCAGTATAACCAGTATAATTCCCTCCCTGGGACTACTGTAGTAGCTTAACAATATCAAAATCGCCCTTCCACTTGGGAGTTCAGCATCATACACAAGCTTCAGTTTAAGCCATCTCCTAAACAGGGCACTAGTCCCACACCTGAAGCAGCTGTGTTAGACACACATACAGCTGTACCCATTGTGCTCTTCCTCCTTCCTGTCTTCTCCTTCACTTTAGGCACATGTTGTATTTACAGACGTTTAAATTATGATGAATCATAGCAATTGTTATTGCATACCCTTGGAAAAAGTAGAACATCTGAGATTTTAATTTCCATTAGATTTAATAATCTATTCCCTATACATACTGATCCTTATTACTTATTGAGTTAATAATCCTTTAAAATATAAAAAGTAATTGACTTAGGAGAAGTTGCATGTTATATGTGGCTAAAAATGAAAAGTAATATTTACAATGGTTGTAATAGTTGTCTGGCAAATGAATTGTGCATTCCAATTTCTTAATACTAGCTAGAGAACAAGTATGAGGTCTAACAGGAGTTCCCCCTCCACTGACATTAATTTAAAAAAAAAAAAAAGTTGGTTGACACCAGAAAAAGGAATAAAGATGACAGATTAGTAAGAACATCATCTCTCAGATATCACTGCCTCCCACTACCCCCCAGGAAACACTCTGGGCAAAAGAACAATAAAAGCTTTCAGAGAGATGCAAACTCCTGAAATGAAAATTTATGATTAGGATTAAGATTACATACTGTTTACTATGGAGAATCCTATACAATAAATAGAAAATACCAAAGTAAAGCTTACCTGAGTAAAGCTCTCAGTAGATAATTATATTTAAGCCAGTACTTGACTGTAAAGGAAGTGCTCTCTATGGTTTATTTGGGAACAAAACTACATACACCCTTTAGTAAATATTTTGACATCTCTAGTGTCAAAACTGGGAAATGTCAAACAGTGATAAAAAGGCTTAAGCATTTGAAAGTTCCCTCTGTATTAATCTAAAAGAAAAGGCAGGAAGGAAAAAACAATCTCTTTCAGAAACAAAATTTGTAGGCTGTGACTGCTAACAGGATGCTTGATCTAATTCAAGACTGTCACTAGGAAGAAAACTTCATTAATGTTCCCTAAATTATATTTTTTTTTTTTTTTAAAAAAAAGGAAACTTGGTTGTACAAGATGGAAATAAAATGTTTTCACTCTGAAGTTGTCCTATCTGTACTGACATAAATTGATCAATCTGCTATATAATGCAAACCAAAAGAAAGCCCAATAAATGCTATTTTCAACCAACTGGAACTTAAGCATCAGAATTCCTGTACAGTTATGAGCTAGAAGGATCACACAATTTCAAAAGTACGTTATATTAGTAGCACATAACTTACCAGAAGATTAAAACCTGTCTCTTATACACA